AAAAAAAAAAAAAAGAGTTTTATTATATTCTTCAGTCCTGGGGAGGGTGAGAACTAATTTGGCCGGTTAAAATTCTTCCTTATCTTATTTCTGGTTCAGTTTGTACCGGGATAAATGTATATTGGATGAATAATGATGGTAAATTGATAGGAAGAACTTTCAGCACAAAAATTATAGGATGAATTTATGAAATCATTAACCGTAGTGTGGCTTTCGGTCACATTCACATTATTGATGGTTAAAAAATATTTATTCCCAAGAATCTCTATTCATATTGCATAGGATTGGGAGGGAGCAAGCTATGAATCTTCTTGATTTCCCAAAAGAAAATTGGTCATATCACATTATTCACATGTATCCTTTTTTTGGTGGCATCACATTATTCATATGAATATTGGATAGGACTGGGAAGGAAAAAGGACTCAGTCACTCAGCCTTATCTCGAAAATAATGTGATAGATATGAACTTGTCTAGCTATCAAATTCTGCCATTGGTTTATTTCCACAGTACAGATGAACTCTACCTTTGTCTCCTTTATCTTTCAATCTTTCCACGTTCATCTATTGGTAATGTCTCTGTCAAAATGATCCTTTTACTTTCCTTTCTACACCCAAAGACAAAAACTAATAAAATTTTTGAGTTTGCTACCTAATGTTTGGACATGTGCCAATAAGAGATCAGTCAGATTGTTACTTGGATATAATTTAGGGGCATTAGATTATCTCCAATTAATCCTGATTAATCCAAACCTCTTAGACCCACCACAATCATACTTGGCTGTTTCATTTGTCTCAGTTTGATTTTTATATAAAATTTAATCATATAATTATATATAATAAATAAATAATAATTAAAAATTTTATACAAAATACTTGTTAAGTATTTTAAATTTCAATTATTATTTTTTTATCATATAAAATTATCAAATTAAACTATATGTTAAAATTAAATTATCTATTATTTAAATTATCAAGTTAAATTGTATGTAAAAATTAAATTAAAACAATTAAATTCAATTGGAAGGAGAAACTTTAAAGTTTAACTTCATTCTTCTTTTTATTTGAATGAGAGTGAAACTACTTAATAAAAATTAAAGAAGATTGGGAGTCTCTTTCTGTGTTCTTTCTTTAAGGACCAAAACCATAGTTAGTCTTCTATAAGGGGCATATCTGTTGAAGTTGAGGGTTAAGCACTACTCTAGATCTTATAAATAAAGTTAAAAATAGGTTGAAAAATCTGCACAACCCTAGGCAGTGCCCTATCTTAATTCTCAAAAATTTTTTACAAAGGCTTAAAGAAGATAACAAACAATACCTTTAGCCATATATATGCTGGTTCAGCCCTCTCGTCCCATGGATCTAAAATTTTGAACGCCCCCTCCCTCCCAAGTAGCACGTAATAACATTAGCATGGAAAGGAGATCAAGAGTTTAAACTCAAAATTTTTTTAATGATGTTCTCACTAAAACGGTAACATTTGCCCTTTCGAAAATTTAAATTCAAAATTCATAGGTGGTGTTTATCACTAAACTTTAATATTTGAAATACTTACCCTTTTTATTAATTCGGGGGAAGGATATATATTGCAACCCCAGCACAAGGCTAGAGGAATTGGTGCACTTCCCCTAAGCTAAAAGGCCAATGTCGCATACTTACTTTTTTTCATTTTTCTTTCCTCGTGCCGAGAAAATGTGCTAAGGTTGTTGTAGTTCCTCAAAACTCAAAAACCTGATGAACAGAAACAAGATAATATCAAACGTTTGGATAAGGCATTCATTAAAAATAAACATGTCAAAAAATAATTACTAGTACTGGTGACAATGACCTGCTTGGCACTGCACCAGTTATTCTAGAGGTACTGTCATGCGCACAGGAATTTTCATGCACCCAAATCTTATTCCTACGCTTGTCATGGGTATAGCAGAGATTCTATGTTCGATATACACATGTCAATAGAAAACATGGAAATTCCATGCTTCTGCTGTCATGGCATCATTATCCTCTCCCAGCAAGATTACCAACCTAATCCATCTAGTTTCAATATATAAAGTTTCCCCAAGGAAGTTCTACCTCCGTGCCCCTCATCTTCTTCCTTCATTCCCATATCCAAGGGACGCATGGAGATATATGTAATGATGTACATCAACATCAGCATCATCATCTGAAGCAAAGTGATTGTGAGTGGTGGATCGTTATGGAAGATGATTCATCATCATCAATAGGGGATTCAAAAGGTTCCAAGGAGTCATCATCATCTGCATCAGACATGGTGGATGATGCATCATCATTACCTTCGTGTTCTTCAACCGATTCAAACTCAGGACCATTGTATGAATTATCAGAGCTCATGGCTGAATTGCCAATCAAGTAAGTAGTGAGAAATAAGGTTTTTCTTTTTGACTTTTTTTGATTCATCGAGACAATTTGAATATGAAAGTTTTTATTATTTCAATTTATCTTTAATCATCAGATTTTAAACGCACAAATTAATTAATTCTCGTTTCTTAATTTGATTATATATTTATAGGAGAGGGCTATCCAAGTATTTTCAAGGAAAATCTCAATCTTTTACATCACTTTCAAGAGTGAAGAGCATAAAAGACCTTGCAAAGAAAGAGACTCCTCTAAGGAAGAAAATGAAGGCATGTAAAAGTTATGGTTTTGGGTTGGATTCCCACAAGTTGTACACCCTACCTAGGGCTAAAATATCAAAGAAGGAATCTAGGGGTTCCTTATCTTTACAAGGGAGGAGATCAGCAGTCTGTTTCCCAAGCAGCAGGTCGCCTCCAACTCCTGTACAGAAGAACTTTAGATCTATTAATTCTTTAGGTTTGCATAATTAGTAACTGCTAACTTGGATTCCTAGAGATGCATATTATGTAGAATTTGAATCTATATTTGAGTTTGCAACAAAATTTACAGTTTGTTTAATTTGAGTGAAATAAAGGGGAAAGGAATTTTATCATCTAATCAAATTAAGAATACGCGTGAATCGTGTGAAATGAAAAAAAAAAAGATGAAAAAGAATAATTTATCTAATCAAAATTAAGTGACGTTTTTACTAATATCTTAATTTGACAAAATATTCTTTCCTGCTCTCCATTTCCCTAGAGAATTAATGTATCTTTAATCACTTGCATATTGCTATTACATAGACATTTAATCATCAATTTTTTCTACAATTAGTATACTACGTAAATGACTTTACTTTTCCACAATTTTGTGTTAGGTACTAAAATCAAACCTTTTTTGTTTCTCTTTATTGAAAAGCAGTAGAAATATCATTCCATCACTAAAATGAGATGGTTATGATCACTTATTATTTTGTTAAATTATTTAAAATTATTTAATTAGATTGATATTTTATTTATTTATAATTTTTTCTTAAATAATTTGTTATGATGTCTAAAAATATCAATTTATAAATTAATTTTATAATCTATTAAATAATAAATATTAATTATTTTTAATAATTAAATTAAACAAAATTAGGTAACTATAAATAAAAAAGGTGAGCAGTTATAACCACACTCCCAAACTGGCTCTGTGAGCATACAGGGCAAAAGGAAAACAATCAAGACATGGTAATACAATACATGTTGACAGACACTAAACCCTTATTAGTTAGGTGTCTATCTACTAACACCTAACCGTCGAGAAAAAAAATTGAATTTTGACAAAACTCACCATCTATGATAAAAAGGTTGAGTAAATCAAAAGGAGGAGTATAGTTATAACCACACAATATTTTGTTAAGGTTATACAATTTTTTGTTTGATTATTAAAAATAATTGATAATTGTAATTGTTAGTTGATAAAATAATCAATATTTATTATTTAATAAAATAAAATTAGTTTATAAACTAATATTTCTAAACATTACAGCCAATTAATTTTTTAAAATAGCTATAAACTAATAAAATCAATCAAAGTAAATATATATTTTTATATCATTTTGTGAGTCTCTTAACAGAAAGTCGTGACAATAACCAAACCCCATCATGATTTACTCAAAAAAGTGTTGAATTCAAGAGGTCGGTTAAGTGTGAGAAAGTTTAAGACACCCTTCAAACATCATTTTGGGTACGTCTTTTATAAAATAAAGAGGCAACTAAAACTTTACCAAAATAAAGGCAATTAAAACATGCGTAAATTCCATTATCCAAATTTCACAGCACTAAACATTGAGATTTCAATTCAAACTACTTTCCAAATTTCTCTTCGAGTTTTTTTTCTTTTTCGAACTTTTAAACCTTCTTCTTTTTTTTTTGTGTGTTTTTATTTCAAAATATATAATTTTTTTTTTTCATTCTTGTGAAACTACCCCAAACATACGGCCTTATATATTAAATTGGACCTATTAAAATGCCGAGCCAATTTCATTTATCAAAGCCCAATTAGTCAATTTACCAGCCCTCACACATATCTAAATCTGGCCTAATGATAAATTTTCCTTCTTAATCTCCTACGCTCAATAACATGACCCATATAAATTGGACTAGCTCAAGCCTATACAGTTTACCATCGTCTGTTCATTTGAAACCCACAAAATAAATTTTCTTTTCAAAACCCATGATCAGACCCATGTTTATTAAAACCCGTTGAAGCCTATATACACATTTTGCATCACCTTTCACGAAGAATTTTCTTTTTGGCCAACCGTACAAATGGGTAATAATATATTCGAGTCGAAATAAATTAGTACTTAATGAAAAATTAAAGCTTATCGCCACTTAAAAATTTCATTTTAGAGAAATTGACTTAAATTTAGTAGTTAATGTTAACTTTTATTAGATTCTAATAACAGTAGTTTAATGAAAAATAATTATGTTGACATCAACCAAAAGGACTAATACAAGCACTTTTTTTTTTTTATTTAATGCCTTTTTAATGCATATAAAAAAAAAGAAAAAAAAAGAGTACTACAACACGACCACTTTCCGGGTGATTACCCTCACCCATCCTACTTAGTACTACTCTTGTCCAATCCTGTTTAATTATGGAGTTTTAATGAAATTTCGATGTATTTGTGATGGCATTTTCCCTCTTACTCATCGAATTAAGATTATTTTTATTTAAGAGGTCAGACAATTAAAATAAACCAATTAAAAATCAATTATTAATTATTAACATTATTAACTATTGATTAGTTTTTTTTTGAATAATTTAACGTGGGACTATATCAAATCCGTCCAAAAAAAGAGAGGGTACACTTATTTAATGTGAGTAATATCATTAGAATCGAAAGGATCATATGTAAGTATTAATTAATTTTTAACAATTAAGACAAACGGATTTGATATTTTATTCTTTTTAGTGAGGGAACAATGTCCTATTTTCTATAATAATATTATAAAGTGGAAGAGTAGTAATCCTCAAAACTCTACAAGGGGCAATCAAAATTGTAATCATCCACAACATCTCTCTATTGCTAGTTGCTCCAAGCGTGGGTCTTGCCTCAGCACTTTTGAAATTAAGCTTTGTGATTAAACTAATCAGCGGAGCTGCTGCCCTTTC